AAGCTGGAATGTTCATCTTTTCCTGCTGTCGGACATGAGAACTCCTGGTTTTCAGATTTTGAGCTCTGATTCTTACCAGGCCCCTCATGTCACCAGCTTCCTGGATCTCCAGCTTGCAGATGGTAGCTCACGGGGCTTTTTGGCCATCACAATTTCATGAATTTCCATAATACACTTCAGTATGTGGGTGTGTGTATGTCCACCTATGATTTCACTTTTCTAGAGAGTCTTGACTCATATACATACATTAATATGAATTTGAGTATGAAAGCATCTAGATAACTAACATCTAATTTAAGGTATCTTATTTTATCAACACATCAGAAGCCTTCTTTTTGTTCTGTCTCAGTTATTAAGATCTCCTCTGCAAGTTACCATTTTTTTTTTAAATCACAAGAGACTGTTTCTACTGGATTTTGAAACTTCTCTGTTTATAGCACTCTTTTTTTAAAAGGGGTTTTTAAATTTATGTTATAATTATAAGACTCATTAATGTAGCAGTAATTTCCTTTATTTGAATTTTTATTTAGTATTCTACTATGTGATTTATATGTCCATTCTGCTGTTGATGGAGAATTGGGCAGTTTCCAGGCTTTGATTGTTGTAAACAGTGCTGTTAGGAACATTCTTCTATTTGTCTTTTGCTGCACACGTACGTGTTTCTGTTGAGTGTTTCCCTGGAAGTAGAATTCTGGGTTGTATAGAATGGGCATATGTTCAGATTTTAGCACATAGCAGTTGCACCAACTTGCACGAAACCAGAAGTGTCTGGGTGTCTTCATGTGCTCGTGAATGTGTGATGTCACTTTTTGACCTTTTCTTACTCAGTTCCAGCGTGTATTTTTTTAAAAAAAATCATTTGATGTATTCATGGGACAAAATATTCTGAGGTCAATGAAGAATAGGAAGTAGAAAAGAAGGAGAGAGATAATATAAAGTTTAGGAAGAGAGGAAGATCAGAAATGGAGCAAAGCAGCTGGGTGTGGAGGTGCACACCTATAATCCCAGCACTCAGGAGGCTAAAGCTGGAGGATCATCATGAATTCAAGGCCAGCCCGGGGCACATTGCAAGTTCAAGATAAGCTTGAACTACACGGTGAGATCCTGTCACAGCCTCTTTCCCCAAAAAAGAAATAAAGCAAAGGAAATGAAAGAACGATTGTCGGAGATATGTAGGAAACACCAAATTTTTTTTTTCCCTTTGCTACCGGGAACCAAACTCAGGATCTTGCCTTGCCACTGAGCTATTTTCCCGGTCTCCAATTCATTTTTCTTTCTTTCTTTTCCTTTTTTTGGTACCGGGGATGGAATTCACAACCTCACATTTACCAGGCAGGTGCTTGTGCTGCTGAGCTAAATCCCTGGCCTCCAATTAATTTTGATTGCCTATGAAGAATCAAAATAAAATTCAATCCTAGGAGTATTGTAGGAGCATTTTTTATTTCTGATTTGAATGTCTGATTTCTTGGAGTGTAAAGATATGATGATGGAACAAAGGTAAATAAAATGCTACTAGTAAGAAAATATAGGAAAAAACCAATAAACCTACTTTTCTTTGGGGGTCATTTAGAGACAGGGTCTCGCTATGCAGTTCAGCTGGCCTTGGGCCCGCTTTGTAGCCCAGGCTGGTCTTGAACTTGCAATGATCTACCTGCCTCTGCCTCTCCAGTGCTGGGATTACAAGAGTGCATCACCATACCTGGCCCCATATTTTTTGATATTAAGAATTTTTGAAGATCTTAAAAGAAGAAAAGGAATGTGATGTCTGGTTTCTTCCCTTTCTCTTTCTTTTTATATCTTCTTCAATTTGACTTAACATGCTTTTTTCTTGGAAAGCTAGATGCAAGTGACAAACTTCCCAGCTATTATAGCTCAAACACCTGAGCTAATTCTCTGATGCAAGTGGTACAAGCCATCACTGAGAAGAGAAACACTGTCATGATGGAAAGGGAGATGATACTAGAAATCTTTTGGGTAAATGACTTTTAAAAAATCTTTTTACTTATTTTTTTTAAATTTTTGGTTTTGATTTTTGATACAAGGTTATTGTGTATAGTTCAACTTGACCCTTGAATTCATAAATCTACACTGGTCTTGAACTTGTGATAATCCTGCCTCAACTTCCCAAGTGCTGACACTCCAGACATATACCACTGTGCCCAGTGTGCTTTTGTTTTGAGGGAAAGATAAAAGTCTCATTTAGTGGACTTTATGAAAGGGAATTCCTAAAAGATTAAAACCTCCTGCACACTTGAGCCTTCTTGCTTACCTGCTTCTGACTTATTCTTATCTCTTTCTGCTTAGTAACACTGGCTTCAGTGAAAGCTGGTTGGCAGCAGACATCATTGGAAACACAGCATCTTTGTCTTTTTGGGTTTGCTTGCTAATTCTGCCCCCCACTCCCACTCTATGTGCCATCTGGAAGAAAGGAACAGGTTTTGAGTTAAATTTGGAGATCTATGAGGCATGAGATACGTAGTTGCTCTGTTCATTTGAATTGAAAATTTGATCCATTTCTGGAGACTTCTTAGCATCAACCTTCTGGGTTGAGCTATAAATCTGGAAATGACTTCAGAACATTATTTGCTGTGATTTTACAGGGCAAAGTGCTGTCTCACACCTAGCAGAAAAGCAATAGAGCAATAGCACTCAAATTGCTGTTCTTGTCATCTTTCTGTTCAGTTAAGAGCACTGAAGAACTTTAATTCTGTGTGTAAGTTACCGTAAATGGAAACAGTCCAGAAACCCTGGATTTTTTCAGACAATTTCCATGGTGTGGTTCTCATTGTGTTACCAAGACATAGCTTCCATTACTGTCCCAGATCAGCTGAAGTCATAGTTTATAGGTTCAAAGAAGAAGAGAGGTGTACCGCCATCACTGCAGAGAATGCCAACACACACACATTCTACAGTTACTATGACCGACCTAATCCCCTACTAATGTGTATTTCACTATCTACACAGTAGTAAAGCCTAGAAAACACCAATGATTATTTCAGTGAGATGTAGATTTTAACCAGAAGCATATTTATTTTGCAAAATTTATGTTGTTATATGCTAAATGAATTTCTGCTTCTTTTTTGGGTTTTGTGGAGAATTCGACTAGAGCTACAATATTATTAGATATTTACTTCCCAAGCAAAAACATAACCAAATAATTAAATAATTGCACTAATCTGTGAAAGTGGATCAACAGGCCAGGGTGGGTTTAAATATTGGGTGATAGACAATCTCTTCCTCCACGGAGTTTTTTTTTTTTTTTAAAGATTACTTAGGCAATATGGAACAGATAGTACATATATCCTTCCTAAGAAACTAACTTCTGTATCACTCAAGCCAAGTTTAACTGCTGAGAAGGATAGTAGGGGTTCTTCTAGTTTAACCTAGAAATTAATGGAGGCTGAAACAAACAACCCTTGTGATTTCATTCAACAGCCAGACTCTATAAGTTTATGGGATGCATTGGACCATGGAAAAAAGCAAATATTGACAAATATTAGAGGAGATGATATGCTGAAACATTTGTCAGAGAAATTTTTTCATTTTAATATGTTTTTTAATATAACAGCAAAGTTCACTTTTCAGAGTATGAAAAATATGTATATATTAATGAGAATCACATCTTTTCACATAACATGTTATTTAAACACAAATATAATCATAGCTCTCTGCCTATCCATGTACTTGTTTATTCAACAAATATATATCATAGGCTAGACACTATGCCAAAGAATCTCTCTCTCTCTATCTTTCTGCTTCTCTCACTATCATCTACATAGTTAGATCCTAATCTGGTTTCTGTCTGGGTTGTGTGTGATACTTTTGATTAGTGGGGACATAGACCTATATATAATGTTCCATTGATCCTAAAGCATAAACTTCCCCCACAGTATTAAAATTTTTTTTACTTTAAAGAGAATAAAAGCTAACAGAATAAAACAATAAAACCAAATAAAACAAAACAGTGAAAGTGATACAGAGCTTCAAAACAAGATAATAGGAAATCAACAATGGCTACCATAGGGTATCACGTTATCATCACAGTAGTTGTCCATTTCATCAGACATCAGATGAAACAAAACAGAATAAAACCAATCAAAACCAAACCAATAAACCAAACACAACAGCATAAAGCCAGTCATAACGGAACTTAAATAAAACAAAATAATAAAACGGAATAAAACTAAACAGTGGGAACAATATTGGATTTCAAAAACAAGACAGAAGGAAACCTTCTATATTTTGCTATATTATATACTGTTACCTTCCTAGTAGGTGCTCACACTACCGGCTTTAGGGCTGCAAAGTCAGTTAAACAGCATAAGCATTTAGTTGCTTTGGTACCTCAGATGCTATCAATTCCGCCTGTCCTTCATCCAAACCAGTCAGTTGCTTACGGGTTGGGGATTGGATTTCTTTTTTTCTTTTTTTTTTTTTTTTTGTCCTTTTTAAAGACAGGGTCTCACTATGCACTTCAGGCTGGCCTTGAGCTAACTTTGTAGCCCAGGCTGGTCTCGAACTCGTAATGATCCTCCCACCTCAGCCTCCCAAGTGTTGGGATTACAGGCGTGAGCCACCACGCCCGGCAAGGGATGGGATTTCTTGATTCTTAGCCTGTATACCTGGCTTCTTTCTTCCTGGGCCCTGCCTGGTTCGTGTGGCTTATAGGAAGGGAGAACTGGCTTCTTTCTTCTTGGTGCCCCACAATATTTTAATATCTTTGATTTCAGGATGCATCCTAAAACTGAAACAGTGTCATAGCTTGACACACTGTTTATATCTTTCAGGTGTTTAATATGGTAGTTTACTGGCATCCTCAATGCTATATCAATAGGATATGTTGCTATCTCTCTGTCTGTATATCTATCTATCTATCTATCTATCTATCTATCTATCTATCTACCTGTCTACCATCTATCATCTATCATCTCTAACATATCGCTGTATAATATACCCAATACCCACTATGGCAAGCACTACAAGAATAGCAAGAGACTTACTTGGATTGGGATGTGTGACAATGTTCGGACAGCGTGCTGCTGTGTGTCCAGAAGGAAGAGTAAGGCCCAGTTCAGAGGAGATAAAAGCATCACAGGAAAAGAACAACTGGGCGAGAGGCAGTTGGGACTGTTTGAAGAACAGATGGAAGACTGGAGTTGCTGGACAGAGCAAACAACAGAGCCTTTCAAAAAGTCTGATTCTTTTAGCTTCTGGCAAGCATTTATTCTGGAAAGATGTTTTGCAGATCACTTGGACTGAAGGCCTTTCCTTTGTATATTATTTGTTGCATGATGGAGTAAAGGCATCATAGACTCTGCCACTGCTTGGGAAAGTCAATCTATATTTGACCTTTTTCTTAGAATGGCTTAGAGCTTAAGTAATGATATTTAAGCTAAATTATTAAACTAATTTTGCTTGAAATTGCACACACTTAAGAAAAAGTATCAATAAATGTGCAGGTTGTGTGGTAGCAGCTGTAATTCACAGAGGTTCAGTTGTGATATGCAATACTCTTTATAAAAACAAAAAGTAAAAAGGTAACAAATGAAATTAAATGTACATAAAGGTAAACATCAAGTTCAAAGTCTGAAACACACAGTGTATATTTTTAGGTAGGAAAAATTTTCCCTGTAAGTCAAATTTATCAGCAATTGCTACTTTTTTAATATCAAGGATGTATGGTTATCTATGGTCAAAGAGAAAAATTCATGTTAACGGAGATTTATCATGAGTTATTTTTATCTTTTTAGACACAAAGTATATGTTCTCTGCACTATGTGTAATTTAATGACAGTTAACTTACCATAGGCACATTTAAACAGTTATCTCAAAACCAAACTAAAACATTTTTTCAATTATCGGGTTTAAGCACATTTTCCAAGAGAACCACAAAGTAATCCATTATTTTATGACTTTTAAGCAATTGATTTGCACATCTTTGAAACATACACCCTGTTAACAACAAGAAAATCTCCATTAAAACAAGTGCAAAATATCTTTTCACTGTGTGTCTCACTTTTTATGGTTGTCTTCCAGGTTTCTGTTTGGTGTTCCAATTTTATTTTGCTAGAGGTAATTGTATGTAGATGCTTTCTGAATGTTGCATTCCCTTTAAAATCCAGGTGCACACTTGCATGGAAGCATTTATAGAAAATAAGGACAATCCTATGATAAGCAGGAGGATCTTTAATGAAAATAGTGTGATTTCTTTCAAAAGAGTGATTCTCTGCCAAGTTCGATACGGGTGGAGTCCTGTCTGAGTTGATACCCTCTGAGCTAAGATTATTGGTACCAGCAAGCTCCACCAATGTTTAGAAACCAGATGCAAACCCTGCTGTTTCCTAGGAAGTGTGGTAGTTTAAATGAAAACTCCTGTGTTCTGCTGGGATTTAATTGACCACACATGGCAGAGAATGTGAACCGAAGAACTCAGAGGATTACGTTCGGTTCCTGTAAGTGAAAAGTCATCCAACTCAAACAGGAAGGAACAAGATTTGAATGCTAGAGGGTGGAACAAAACTGCTATGATTTCTAAGGTGGAAATACTCAGATGGATTTATATTTTCCTTAACTTTTCATACAGAAATGGAAAAAGCAGCAATGTACAACTGGAAAGACTGCATTTAAAATAGAGAAAAATTAAAAAAAAGTAACTATGAAAACTGTAAGGGGAAAATGATTCCTGAAATTTTATGCTCCATAATTCATGCTTAATTTAATTAGTGATTATTGAAATGTTTTGCTTAGTGCTCATTAACCACCTAAAACCCTCATGTAACCTCACATTAATCAATTATGGCTGCTCTTAGATTTGGAATCAAATTGTTTATCTAATATGAGTGCCTCTTAGTGGATACCATTAGGATTTCAAAATAGTGTTAAAAGCCTAGAGAAACAACAGAAATTGAGAGTTCCTAATGAGAATACTAAAAACAAGGTATGAGGAAAATTACCCATACAGAAATAATCTTACTACTGTGATAGAATGTTTATCAACATACGAATACATATTCACACACATGTATAATATTTGTTCTCTGTGGAACACAGAAGATGAGGAGTACTAACATAGGAGAAATACGATTAATTGACTTGTGGTTTTTATATCTGTTATTGGCTTGTGACTGTGGGAAAACTGTATGATCTTTTTTCTAGGTCTTTGTCTTTTATTTTAAAAAATGGAGGAACTTGCAGTGTCTTCCCCGACAACTTCCTCTAGGACACAATCAAGACGATACTAATCAGTACGTAACTGGTAAAAATGTTAAATACATCAGCATTAAATAATAATGTGTCATTGTTGTTAGTATTGTACTAGAAACATTCAAAGCCAGCCAGAAATGTGTTGGTCTACAGAGCTAGCTCCTATTCAAAAAAAAAAAAAAAAAAAAAAATCATTTTTTCCAGGGCTCAGGGAGCTACTGAAAACTTTATTGTTCACATTGGCCTTTCTAAAATGTAATGATCAAATCTTTAAGTTAGCCAAAATGTAGCTCTGAGAATTAAATTTGGCTTATTGTACTCAACATATGCAAAACTGTCAACAAATTTTCTTCTCTTTGAAACTACTTAAGGTCAAGAAGTTTCAAAAAACAAAGGAAAAGGTTTTCTTGGTACAAGTTTACCTTCTTTCCCATTGGGAGACATGATGGTGCCTTACTGCTTTAATATTGAAGTTGTCAGGGCTTACAGACTGGAAATGCACAATGAAAAACCCCTCCCTGTTCAGAATGAATGCCCCAGAGAGCTGACCACCCTCCTCCCTCCAATCTCAAAGGCCAGATGGGCTCTAGACAAACCCTGGGAGTGTAGATGCTTGGACAAGTGGCCGTCAGCCATGGTGTGAGGAGATTCCCTCACTGAAACACACGTGGAAAGCTGTTGGGTGCCCAGAGCAGTGCCAGAATGGCTAGAAACGGAGTAACGCGATGGACTTTAGCTGAGTCTGCACCTACAGAAGCATCCTGCTCTTAAGAAGCTGAGATTCAGGCTCGTTGCACTAAGGTTTCAGAGTACAGTATACATTATGAGTTGTCCTGGTTCTCAGGACTTTGGTTGCGTACCTTAGCTTCAGGAAAAAGGTCTTTTTCAGTAAGTTTATTTCACTGGGGGATTATTGCCAGTCAACTGAGCATGACGGGGAATGAAAAAAATTTTTTGTTTGTTATAAGGGCAAAGGGGCAGGATGAATAGGATGTGGTAAGAGAGTCTACTTCCTGTAGAGAGTTTGCACAGTAGAAAACTCAGCAGGCTTGTGTATAATAAGTTGTACAGCCTTGAAGCACACAGCAACATGCCTGTTAAGAGACATTATGGCACCTTTGAAAACCTATGAAACTTAAATGCATGTGTGAGTGTGCTTGCACACACACACACATGCACACACACATACACACAAATAAGAATACTTTCAAACTAAATGCTTTCAGATGAGGAGTGTGTTCAGGTGGTGTGCCATGGTAGAAATGATGTTGTGTTTGGAGTGTGAAGACCTAAATCTGATCTAAATTGGGCACACTTTTCCTTTCCAAGGCTCAATTTTTCATCTATCTATTAACCTTATGAATTTATAATAGGTCTGCATAAATGAGTGGAAACCAGTTTCAAATGGCAAGCACTGTATAAGTAAGTCTTCTTACTGTTTTTGTTAATAAGAGAAGTGACAAATTTCATTTATTTTTTCCCAGAAGTGTGTGGAATATGATTTGTGAATAAATTCATTGTGTTTAGCAGTTTCATGGGTAGACACTGACAATGAGCTGGCCAGCTAAACTGTCTCAAAAGAATTTGAGAGCTAATTATTAAAATTATAATTTTGCAGATTCTATCGATATGTTCATATGAAACTGAAATTTAACCATGTTCCTTTCATTTTGTTTGGTGATTTTATCTATGTTAGTGTAATTAGATCCACAAAATAGTCACAACAGGTAGATATTGTTGTTTTTTTGTTTTTGGTCTTTTTCCTGGGGATCGAACTCACGACTGCCTGCTTCCAAGGCAGGCCCTTATGCCGCTGAGCTAAACACCTCCAGCCCCATATTGTCGTTTTTTTAAAAGATGGTGAGCTGAAAGTTATGTAAATTAGTCAACTAATATTCACATACATGTATTTAATTGAAAAAACTGAAAACAAGATAGTGCGAGCATACTTTATATAACATGTGAGTGTATGAGGACTTTAACAAAGTTTGGAAGGTAATTGAAAGAAATACAAATGATTTAGAACGAATTACTTCGTTTTTCTTAATACTAGACCAAGAACCTTCACACTGTGCTGTGTTCCCACTTTTTTTGCTTCTTTTTAAAAAAATTTTGACATGGGGTTTTGCTAAGTCAGTAAGCTGCTCAGGCTGTAAAACTTGGGCAAACTTGTGCTCCTCCTGCTCTGGTCTCCCCAACCGTTGGGATTATAAGGAACGGGCCCCCATCCTTGGCCTTCTCAGTGTGCTTTTTTAAAATTGTAAGACAGAGTGATGTCCCCAAGGAGAGAATTTTGTTGGTATGGTTAAAACAAGACAAACACCATTTCCCCAAGGGAAAATCAGTCTAAAGATCATTTGAACTCTGAAAGATATTATTAAAAATATTTCAGCTAATCTTATCACAAAATGGAGAAATTACAACTATTCTATCACCCGAGGAATACAGGGATTTCAGTACTATATTTATTGAAAACTATAAAAAAAATGGAACTGGAATAATAACTCATTGTCTTCCAAAAAACATCCTGGAGCATTTTCCTGTGTCAATTAACAGTTAATATGTTGTCTACTCAGTGACATTAAAATGTGTTCCCTAAACCTTTTTCACAGACATCGGCCTTGATGAGTGGCAGACAACATCCCAGGCAGGCCTCGGAAAGGAAATTCAATTACATAGCTTCCACATTGTACATGCATTGGGCTGAAGTCAAAGAGATTCAAATACCAAAGAATAACACTTGACCCCGGATCCCCTTTAGGGAATGCCAAGTGATTTCACAATTTTGTTTCTGATAGAGAGGAGAGTGCTTCAGGGCAATTCGGGGTGGTGCAATTCCAGGATAGTGAACATCTGTCAATGAGGAGCACAAGGGCTGCCTTTGGAGTTTCAGAGGCATTTCTGAGGCATTGCAGAGAGTGGCAGGTCACC